GCTTCCTTTATTTCATCCGCTCTCTTGTAGCGTTTCTGTTGACGAATTTTCATATATTCCTTCTTAACGCGCCGCTTCCATTCCAACGGCACCTTTACGTTATTCGTCATGTCTTTATATATCCTGTAGTCACATTAAACTAAAAACACACAAAAATATAGTTAACTTCTTAAAAGTTGCAAAATGTTTAGCGAAAAAACGTGTTTGCATAGAACAGCGGCACCCAACGCAAATTTATGAAGAAAGCCTCATCAGCAATTCATTACAACAAACCATTGTTGTGGTACAATGATACGTCAAAAATATTTTACAAAACCAAGCCGATTCATGAGATTTTTTTAAATAAATGAATTCAGAAAATGGTAATAAAAGTACAAGCTCTTCCAAATTCGGAGATTTTCATTTAAAATTCTGTTTTTTTTTTTAATTTTTCTATTTTTAATTACAAAATTTTTGACACTTCTCTATATCAACAGCTGTGCTTACACGGTGATCTTATTTATCTGCCTTGGTAAAGCATCTTCTGCGCGCCTTTTGCCTTTTACTTAATAAACCGACCTAATTTAAAAACGCTCCAATTGCAACGAATAGGGGGTGCAAGGCATAAATAACAAACTTGAAACACAATGGTCTTTAACTGTCTTTTTTACGAAGAAGGTGATGGGAATTGTACAAAGGGAAGTGAGTGAACTAGAGACCGTGTCAACAAAACGACAATGTTATTGCGACGAAAAAATTGAGCTACAGAAATGGTACATTGAAAAGATATTGCACAGCAACAATATGGTACATTTTTTCAGTGGTGCGATTCTGTATCTTTTTTACCAAGATCTATTAATAAGGTCACCAAGATAGCAATCGAAATCGGAAAACAGCTTTTTTTTCTCAAGTCTAATGTCAAAAATTTCGACTTTGTTTACGTTTTCATAATGGAAGTCAATTCACAATAATGCATTTTGAGATCAAACTTGAGAGGTATCGATAATCAGCTGGTCTCCCTTGGTGACCTTATTTATAGGCCATGTTTTTTACGACAGAATTACTGACGATAACCGATAACAGCGCATTTGCTTATACTTTCGTTAATTAACTGATATAAAGCAGTCGCTAAACCCTTTATTGTCTCTTGTAATAAAAACATATTCGCTCATGTTGTGTGGCATGTGGCACTGTAACAGGGACTTTTTCTGGATATAATGGTCTCTTCAATTCCATGCGGATTCTCAGAACCGTAAAAACAACAAATTTGTTTATTAATAGTACATTTAAATTGTCAAGGATTACGTTGTCAACTCCTTTAAATAAATTGGACGATTGTGTGAGCCATAATCTTTTCAAATTTTGTTTACTCCCCGGTGCAATAAAAAATTGTTTAAAAAAATTGTATTTAAGTATATAAAATTGATAATTAAGGGAACCCCCAATTCCCGATTTTATATTTTAAAGATTTTCATGGGCTGGTAAATGAATACTAAACGGCATATACATAGAACCTTTTACCGGGTTAACCTACTTTATGAGGATTTATTTGTTCATGTGTGGCTCTCGTATAAACTAGGATTATTGGCCTACCTTTTTTTGGAAATTCGCCTTTTTCTGACCTCAAACTAAGTTAAAAATAAGGAATTTCTTGACCGATTGACTTTATCCTAGATCATACGATAGCTCCACACTCCCAGAACAACGTGTAAAAATTTAAAACCGATTGAATTTTTAGTTTTTGAGTTATCTCGCCCGTCATTCGTAAACACACACACAGTTTCGAAAAAATGAGTTTAAAGGTGGGGAACCACTCTTGTCATCACTTGATGCTGGCACAATAAAACGGCTATATCTTCAAGAGTTCTTGAGATTTTCACTTGAAATTTGTAGGGACATTCTTGAATTAGAGTAGATTCGAACTAAATCAAAAACAGTTTTGACACCGAGAATCCCCTAAAGTGCCTTTGTGCCAATAGTCGGCACATTTCTCCAATTGTCCGCATGTCATGTTCCAATAGTCAACGTGTCGCATTTTAGTTAAACAAAAATTATTTATTTAACTAATTTTTCATTAATAAAGAATTATTATCGGACGTTTCCATCAGTGTTGTATTAAAAAAATTAGATAAACTAATTTTATTTCTTAAAATATTACAATTATAAAACATGGTGCCGACTTCGGGAACCTTTTATCCAATTATAGACATGGGATTTCAGAGGTTAAAAGGATTTAATATTAAAATCATTTCTTCCATTATGTAAAACTACTCAAATCTGATTTTTATATATTAATCATTATTCAGAGCATTTATAAAATTTTTTTCCAATTTTGAACCAAAATGATCGTAAAGGTGCTTATTATTCGCCCATGGTATAATTATTACAAGCTGTGCCCTACCTACCAACTGATTACAATTTTTTCTCAAGGTGGCTTGTTCCATCAAATCAAAATACATATTTTGTGTATGTGTGTGTATTGTTTTGAATACAATGTCAAATAAATTCAAAATAAATTGAAAATATTCAAATTTAATTGAAATGAAAATAAAGTTTATAACACATTCGTCTGGAAATAATTACTTTGTTATGGATGAAACTAATTCCTTACAGCATTTTGGAAAGAAACCATAACCATTCATTTTTCGCGTTTTTAGTTTTGTGTTGAAAAAATGTCAAATAAACACAAACACTTGTTGCGTATTTATTTATTTTATTTTTGACAGAAGAGGCCACACGTGCATAGTTGCTTTTTTGTTATTCACCTCAAGCTGTCCTACCTTGTATTATTGTACCATGATTGTTCCTCAGTGCGGCATCGATAAAAATATCATAATTACAGATATTTTTAATGATTTTGAATTCTAAAGCATTCTCCTTGTGAAAAAATATATAATTTTAATACAGTTACAAGTCTTTTGAAATCGACATGCCCACTATTTTTTTCTAAAAACTTGAATTAGTCTGCTTTTCCACAGGCAGATTTTTATTTGGCAAATTTGTTGTTTTCTCTTTTGAAATTTTCGCTTGCTTTTCCATTAGCAAATTTTTCTTTGCCAAAATTGCGAATCAAAATACAAAAGAAAGAAAATAAAAGTCAAAAGTGTTTGCATTTTAAAGATTTTTTTTAATATTTTATTTATTTTTTATATATTAAATGTTAGTAAAACCAAGGCATTATTGTTGTCTTTATATGCTAATGTATTGGATTTAAAGTATAATGAAATTCCTATACAATTTGTTGAGGTTTTGGAGATTCTAGGAGTACTTATAGACAATAAATTAAATTTTGCAAGACATATTGATAGAGTAGTCTCTCGAGTGAACATGGCACTGAGAAGGCTGTACAATTGTGACCTTTTTCTACCTCACCATTTTAAGGTGAAAATGGCCCATGCTATTGTAATGCCGAACATCCTCTACTGTCTTGAGGTATACTCTGGTGCTAACATGCATAATATGGAGCGAGTTCAAAAGGCTTTTTTTAATAGCGTTGTCAGATATGTTTATGGTATTAACCGTTATTATCACATTTCTTCGTTCGTTCACCGTTTTATAGGATCTTCATTTACTAATTTTGTTAATATCCGATGTCTTTCCTTATTCTATAAAATATGCAAATCTCAATGTCCCTCTTTTTTGGCGAGTTCCTTTATTTTTTCAAGATCCACTAGAAACACCAATCTAACAATTCCAAGATTGGACGTTCACATGGACAGATCATTTCTTGTTAGAGTGTCACGTTTATTCAATACACTACCTAACAACTTAAAAAGGTTTAATGTAACCATTTCATCATACCGAAATAAGCTTCTTGTCTTATTGCAAGGAGCAGCAGAATAATATTCTATGCTATCTTTATCTACCTTAAAAAATACTTATATTTTGAGGCAGTAATTGCCGCTGATATTATAGTTGGGAGCGTTTTTAGTTTTATTTTTTTTTCTATGACCTCGCAAGCGAGGTATTAATAGGAGTAGTTCTTCCCTTATGAAGTTATGTATTTTTTCCTAATTAGATATTATTTACCTTTAAGTTCTAATAATTTAAATGTTAATTTACAAATTACTATTCGAAGCATATTGTAATAATTTATTGGCCCCTTAGGCTTTTCATTACAAAATAAAGATTTAATAATAATAATAATATTTTATTATATAAATTGCAAAAATTAAAAATTAAATTTCACTTGCACAAATTAAAGCAACAGGTTTTTTAAACAAACGCCGGCTGTGTGTCAGTAAAGCGAATAGGTTCAAAAGGAAATGTCAACAAAATTGTTTTCAACGAACAGAGCAAAGCAGAATTTGCGTGTACGGCAAATTCTGAACAGGCAAATTTTTGTTTTTCTTCGTCGCACCCCTCTCGCCTACAAACTCAGTATTTGCCAAAAAAAAAAAAATTTGCCTGTGGAAAAGCAGACTTATAGCTAGTGTTGACAAACTTCATTTACTTATCGAATAAAGTGAACTTCACTTGCGTTTTTTTTTTTTAATTTTCTACAGACTTGTTTTCCAACGATAAACCGATTATTCAACTAATCGATTGTTATACAAAATCCCCCTCGACTTCTAGATCCCTAATCATGTTTTCCTAAACCTCATTCGTAAACAATCCAAATCCAACTACCATTTATCTCCATCCCACCTTATTCGTAACTTTCCGTCTTCTTTTTTGATTTCTTCTTTATCGGGCATTTTGTCTTATCCCATCTCATACGTAACAGGTGGAACGTTTTTCAATATTTCTGTAGTCGGTGAAAAAAGGCTTCGAAAAAAAAGTATTCACTCGCTTTTCAGCGCATCAACAGCACATCATAGTTAATACCATTAACGTAATAAACATAATAGAAACACATATTGAGACGAACTCTAATGCAGAATAACAAAGAAGACAAAATATTCGAGACAACATAAGCGTAACAATAAGCAAAAATATATATCAGAAGTACATCTAATATGGAACCTTCTGCCTGCGAAGGTAAGTAAAAAAACATAGTAACATATATGAACTTTGATTTTGGTATTAAAACAATATTTTTCTTCAATTTAAGATTTGAAAGCATTTGAGAGACGACTCACCGAGGTTGTGTCTTCTTACCGTCCGTCAACTGTACGCTGGAGAAGTAAGTACCCTGTGGAAATGAGATGTGGTAACATATTTAATATTTCTATTCCAATTGTAGTTGTTTTAGCTGTAATATCATTGTGTACTGCAATCGGCGCTTGGTATTGGTTGCGAGATCCCAGAACGTCAGTTGTACCTCTAACAGAATCGCTCCTCATTCATCCTGTATTTACATTCGCCACATTAACATTACGTATGTATAGTTATAATACTATCTTGGAATATTCATTAATTTTCCTTATTTTAATTGTAGTTGTTTTATTTGTTTTTGGAATACACAAACTTGTTATCGCTCCACAAATTATAACATCAAGAATGCGTAGTGTGCTTGGTGATTTTAATATGAGCTGTGACGATACAGGAAAACTTATTTTAAAGCCGCGACCGAATAACAATTGATGAGAATGGCCTAATGGACAATTTATACTATGATGTATCATGAACATCTGTAGGGATAGTATATGATATGTTTTTTTTTTGCAGTAAGTAGATGATTTTAAGTATCATTCAAATCTGTTTCTGTACAATACAAACATAATATGTTTTATGACTAATGTATGCTATGCTGTTTATTTTGTAATTTTGACTTTAACAATAAAAATGGTTATAAATATATACAGATATCCCGCATTTTACTGTGTTCGTAGTATGATATAATTGTTACTATTATTAATTTTCTCAAAGTTATTTGTTCACTCATTTTCTTAATACTACGTCAAATGGTTTTAAATCAATGCTCAGAACCATTAACAAATATATATAATCAAGAAAACATTACAAGATAAACATTTAAATGTATTCCCTATTCAATTTGTATTTGAAATGTGTATTTGACAGAGACAACCGTTAGTTTTTCTTATTCACCTCAAGTTATCCTACTTTGTATTATTGTACCATGGTTTGTTCCAAGGTGCATTTAATAAGGTGTAAGTGACAATCATATGGTTTTAAACTTTTTTCTTTATTATTTGTAAAGGAAATTGTCAAAAACATTTTCAATATTACATTTCGATTTCAAAAATGGTCTTTAAATTTAGGCTTTTTTAATAATAATAATTCAAGAAAACTGCATTCATGAGGCGGACGTTCCTTTCCGTCCGCCTAAAGAATGCAGTTTTCTTTCTAGGCTTAAATCAGTTATAACCCCGCTCACCGAATAGTCCACATATTTTTATGTTATGTGTGGAAATCTGTCCATAAATACCTGATACTCATAAAATCGAGGAGATTATGTTAGCCTATGTTGGAATCGGCCCCTTGGATCTTGTGACAATTCTCGGCGAAGGTTAAATACGCCTTTGGAAAGATTTTATACGATCAACACAATTTCCATGATTTAGCCTTTGGCCGGGGATTTATGTCTTTCAATTTTCTTTAAGAAGGCAAGAAAATTAAAAGACACTACTCCATAGAAAAATAGATTATAATTCATCACATCATAAGGAGCCATGGGCTGCATGTGAGAAACTTAAAATTAATCGCGACCAGGTCTTAAACTTTATTTTTCACTGACCTAAAACCGCCAATAACCCAAGAATACACAAATTCATTAATTATTCCTCAAATAATAGTTCTTGACAAAAATAAATTAATAATTGTTTTTGTTTATTTTTGTCAAAAACTTATTGTCAACATGACAATTTAATTTCTATAATAACAATGTTGTTTTTGTAAAATATTTGTTGTTGTATCTGATGCATACACCTTATTAAATACACCTTGGTTTGTTCTATTAAAAAAAAAAATTCTGGAAGAAACTACTCTGTTATATGTGAAACAAGAATTTAATACATACTCGACTTTGTGAAATCATGATGATCTGAAATGTTAGAATTGATACACATAAAGATAAGATCTTGTTGCATTCAGCCTAATGCGGCGAAATGGTGGGGTTCCACACTAGCTCAGATGGGAGCGTTTTTTATTCAGGGGGGATTTTTAACCCTGCCACCATTAACCTTAGGGAATGAACACTTAAGGAAATTTGGTTCAACACAAAAACAAAGACGAATACAAACACAACATAAAACCATGACACAGGAGCTTGATGGAATCTGCTCCTCCACTTCGCCCACCCATCCTTGACCCTTTTGATCCTAAAATCAAATTGAAATATAAAGGGCCCCGTGCACCACTTACACTTACTCACTTACAACATACTCTTAGTTTTGGCTCTCACACAAAGGAAATTAACACAACATATTTAAAATTTAAATTCTAACATAAAAACAATTTATTGAGCTGGTCATTTTCCTTAATAATAGAACAAAAAAACTTGAAACATTAATAACTATAAATTTTCTTCAAATTGCGAGTCATTTACTCGGATTACCCTTTCATTACTCCAAAATTACTGCCAATTTAGGCCCTTTAAAAAAAACACAATTAATACCTGCCTAAACGAGCTCTTTTAGGTGGTTTGGGACATTACTTTCCGTCCACAAACAATTTATAAATTCCAAAACCAAATTTCGATGTAATTTGGGGCAACCCTACACTCAAATATATATATGAAAAAAGTAATTAATGTTCCTTACAAAAATTATTCAAAACATTTAGACAATACCACTTAACCTAGGTTATAACATATATACGATTAAACTATTTATTATATATTTTTTTAAATTTTAAATTAACTTGTTTTTTTCTTTTGTTTGCTTTTTTTTTAATTTATATTCATTTTTGTGCCTTTTTAAATTATATATTTGATTAATTGAATTTTGTTCTTCTTTTTTTCTTTTTTAGATTTCAATAAAGTGGTGCTTTGACATTTTCTTCAGGCAATAGTAAGTATAAGCCTTATTCTATTTTACCTGGACTTAGCCAATATTTTACATCACCATTTATTTCCTCTTTCAGGAGCACTCCGCACATTTCCTTCGGGGTAAGGCAGAACCCGAGACTTTCTTGGCGGTGTAGTTGGCAGTTTTGTGGTGTGGCCAAAATCGTTATTATGGCTGTTAGCCTGGCCAATATTTGCTGTTGTGCTGCTGTGGCCAATAAAAATGAACTGACCCCTCCGTTTTGCTTTCCGGGGAGGTCAGTTGAAGCCTTTGTATATTTATTTGTTGGCGATACCTACAAACACAGAAAACAAAACACAAACCACTCATAAATTTCCAGAATTACACACAACACAAAGACTTCACACTTACACTGCGTTTCTAACGCCCACGACAAAATTTTAAAAATAATACAGGCGAATTTCAGCCTTTAATAAATTTAGTTTATTAACCAAAAAAAGGATTTTTGTTTTAATTTTCGAAAATAATTTAAGACAACTGTTAACTGTTTTCGAGTGCACCACTGGGGAAATGAAGGAGAATTTTTCTTTTTGGAGCTTTTTATACTCCTGCAAGGACGCCGAATTTTCCCTCCTTACTAGGTTTTTCCTGATTTCCCTGACATTTACCAATTTTCCTTTGTCGATCTAGCCAGCCCTTAAACATATCGCAGGGTTGTATTTTCGATTAGCTCATTTCTTTGCTAGTCGACTTCAATACAACCCTGCCAGTGGCGGCAATTCTAAATAACCCTGGGTTAGAACATTTCCGCTTCATTTTTTGGACGTGGGTTGAACTGGAGATTTGTTTGCGGAGTTTTGCACGGCATTTTTTTTTTAATAAAAATTCCACACGCAACAAAACTTCTCAATTTGTAACCATTGGGAAGCAAATTGAGATGTGCGTGGTAATGGAAAAATAAAATAATTGTTGGCTAAAAAGGTAAGTTAATCTAAAAAATTATTATTTGCAATTCCTAACCCATCTTCTTTTCATTTCAGAAAACTCATGGAGGCACATTTTTTTGCGTGGCTTGGGTATGGAGTCTCAATGAGGTACGTGTGTGTGTTTGCGTGTGCGTACCCACGCTTCTTTCAATGAAGCTGCTGCCGGCGCAACACACTCGAAACCCAACGTATGTGTATGTTTGGTAGCAGAATAATGTGTGTGCATTACAAAATACATTGCCCAGTAAAAAATTGGATCATCCAACGATTAATCGTAGGACGCTCCTTTTCGAGCAATGGAGTACTCCTTAAATCTCCGACTCTCTTGCATTTTATACTCTTTTTTAACATTGCATGTCCTAGGAGGCGAGCACTCCTTTTGAGCTCCCATTGGATGACAGACGGAGTACTCGTTTTCATCTCGGAAAGGAGGACAAAGGGAGTAATCTTTGTTATCTCCTGAAAAAGCATATAGGGAGTACTCCTTTTGATCTCGGAAAGGAGAATCAAGGGAGTAATCTTTGTTATCTCCTGAAAGAGTAAAAGAAAGTAAAGAAGTAAAAGAAAAGAGTAAAATAAAGAATATATATTTTATCATTTATTTTTAACGAAAAAAAAACAAATAATTCATTTTTGTACTATAATTTCTTATAATTAAAAAAACATATTAAATACTTTATTTATTTAGATTTTAGGCTGTAGGTTTGCCGGTAAAATGTTGCCTTACATTTGCGAAAGGCCAACTTAAAAGATTTTTCAAATTCAGGATAAGTTTCGTAGGTGTCTCTGAGTGATTCTGCAAAAATAAAGGAAAAATAAACATCATGTACATATTATTTAAAACACGTTATAAAATCAAGCTATTACCGAAATAAAAAAAGTTAAACAACCGATATTTGTTTATGGCTGTCTTATTTTTAGCTCCATCCCAATTTACCCGAAGCAAAATATTGTCACCAATCATTGCATGTAACGCCTTTTCTATTTTGTCTTTGCCAAATTTTAGTTTCATATATGATATCTGAAAATAATTAAAGATAAATATAATTAGCTTTTAGTACCAAATTCACTTAAATTATGCATTAAAAACTCTGGCTTACCACTTCTGATTCAGGCTCGTTATTAACTAATTGTTCTGCCGAATTTAATTCCTCTAGTGAATTTAAAATAATCGAACATGACGAAAGCAACAGTTAAACAACAGTTACATCAAACAAAAAAAAACATGCCAAAAATGCTTTGATGCATCCCTTATTGATCCATTTGGAGCATAAGGCGAGACATCAATTTTTTTCCAACTTCGTGGAATTTTTTGGCAAAACAAAATTCATACATTGCTCGCTTATTACTCCAAATGGATGAAGAAATCATTACTCCTCTATTGCTCGGTTGAGGATTACTCCAAATATTTTTTACTGGGTGGTTTCCATTCAGTTGCTGTCCATTCACATACACACGCATACCTGCCTGCGGCTTTGAAAAAATGCAGCAGCATTTATTGCAATGAATGTGCATTATGTGCGTAGCGTCTTTACTTCAATGGAGGTTATGGTAAGAAAATGTAAATTATTTTTGAGAATTTTTAGAATTTGTACAATTGTAGATGCGATATTATTATTTATATATTATTATTATTATTATTTATTGGTCTGATTAC